GTCATATCGGTGTGGTCCCGACTTGGTCGGAGTCGCACCGATTTCTAAAGTAGTGCATGCACTACTTTTGGTGCTATTTGCATAGACATCTGTGTCAGATGCTTTGCAAATCGCATCTGAAATTGGCAAGTCACCCGACTTTGAAATTGTACGACTTCACTGTAAGTCGCACGATTTCAAAGTCGGGTTTGATGTGACCGGGGTGTAAGGCTCTTAACTAACACACACTAGGGGGCAGTAGGTAGTAAATTTCTCGCCTTCTTCCTGTTACTTGCCACATTAAAATATATGTAAATTCTCACCTCATACAACAACTCAAACAATTTAAAATAGAAATGAAAGGCAAAACATTTGTGTATAGATATAAAAAAAAACCATAATATCTTTTTTTTCCTTTTTTTATAAATGATCACATACCCTCTGTTCTAAGCATACAGAAGTGAGGGTGGAGAAATAAAATTACACTTGTCTTCCCAGTGAATGGCTGTGTGGGGGGGGGAGGGAGGTGTCAGTACAAGTCTAATTACTGGAGGACAGCAGGCTGAGTTCCCAGCACAGCTAGATAACTGACCACACTGTACTCCCATGCCTAGTGTAGTCATTTTTTTTCTTTTTTTTTATAGCAAAGCAGAGGGACTGGCAGGAACACCAGGGATTTAACACAAAGGAAGCAACACAAAGAGAACAGGATAATTTTTCATGTGAGTACATGGTACAGCAGTCAAATATCGTTAATATGAAATGTTGGGTTTACATATTCTTTAAAAACTCATGTTTTTCTCTTCTAAATGCCAGAACTCCTAGCAGGAGAAAAGCAGCCTAAAAACACGCTTAAAGCCATGTATTCCACACACATTTACACGTGTTTAGGTGTGTCAAGGCATTAATTTACTCTGGCCACTGGAATGCATTCACTTTAGATGTGACTACAAGCGTTTACACACATTTCGGCACATCAAGCATTTTTTCTGCTCAAAAGCTCCTCTCCTGAATGCGCTTTACGCGTTTGTTTTTTCAGCCTGTAAATGTTTCTCTTCTAATATACCTGTAAATGCATGACCACATAGGCTAACATAGAAGTGCTTTTCCAGGCCTGTAAAAGTGGCATTTTTAAGGGCAGTGTGCATGAGGCCTAAAGTAGGTAGGCAGTGAAGACAGCAGTTAAAGTGGACCTTTGTAATAACTTCGGTCACCCCTTCCTCCCCCCGTAGCCTTCTGGGTCATATCACAGATCTCAAAAGACTGCGGGATATTCACAAAGCACATCATGGTTTTTGCAGGCACAGTAGGAAAGTGTCTGTGAAGCCGCAAGGATTCACTGCCAGTTTCCCTTAGATAAGATGCCAGCACTTGGATCCAAATCCGACTGAAGAGTCGACTCGCGTGAGGATAGCTCTGGATCCCTGGACAGATGAGTGTCCTTAAATTAAAAGTCAGCAGCTGCAGTATTTGTAGATGCTGACTTTAATTTATTTTTGGGGGGAGACAGAATCTCCTCTTAAGTAATCTCCCATCCGCAAAAACAAAAAAGATTACCAGTATTATTTAAAATAGACTTACCTTAGATATTGGCCAACTCGTCTGGGGGCCACTGACATCACTCTGCCTTAGTGTGGAACCCTGGAAAAGCTGAGCTTCCCAAATATTGCAAGAATGCACAGCTTCATCACTAGTGTTCATTTTTTGGAGGGGCTACTAAACTCTTTCAGTCTGAGACAAGGTCCGCTTTAACATTTCTCTCACTAACTAATGCCATTATTGTATGCTTAGCATAAGAGATAAGTCATCTTCCTAAAATCTACTGCACTGATCATGCACCCTGTCCTGCGGCAAATTTTATTACTATGCCATTATTTTATTACTATGTCCAGGCCAATTTTCAGCTTTCAGTGCTATCACACTTTGAATGACAATTGTGCGGTCATGCAACACTGTACCCATATGAATGTTTTAGCATTTTTTGAAACAGATAAAACTTTATTTTGGTGGTATTTATTCACCACTGGGATTTTTATTTTTTTGCTATATAAATGAAAAAGTCCAAACATTTTTTGAAAAGTGTTTTTCTTATAACATTTTGCAAATGAATAATCTTTCTTCATAAATCTTGGCCAAAATGTATTCATCTGTCTTTTTAGTACAAAAAAATAACCCAAATTAGTTTATAACCAAAAATTATAATTGAAAAACATTTTTTTTACATTATTATGTTTTTTTTTTTTTTTTTTTTTTTTACATACCATCACCCTAGCAGTACTGTGTCACCATAGTGACACTGTACTACTCGTGGGGGGTGATGGAGATTTTTTTTTCTTTTTTTTTAAACGTATTGCTTTTACACCCATATAGGCTGTAAAAGCAATCATTTCTATTTCTCTCTGGTTGCATTCTTGCAGCCATTGAGAAATATTGTGAGAGCTGTGATTGGTCACAGCTTGTCACATGGTACAAGGCTGTTGTGAATAGCCTTGTACCATGTGACCTCTGTGATCATTCACAGATTTTCCTAGTAGTAAGCAATGATGTCAGAAGTGACATCTTGCTTACTACTATTCATGTGATCACTGATTGGCCAATCAGTGATCACATGAATCAGGACCTCGAACAAAGGTCCCGTACAGCAATCGGTATTTCTGCTGTGCCCTCCAGACACCCATACACAGTGGGCACTGGATTGCGGTGCTGCGCGCTCCCAGGGAGCGCTTACAGACAGTGAATGCGGACGCCGTTTAGAAATGGCCACTCCTGCCCTGCTCCCGTCCGGTTGCTTATGTACATGGGCCGGATGGGAAGTGGTTAATAGGGATAATTTTTTTCTCTACAAAAGTTCAAACAATGCCCCTTTTGAGTTTCAGTACTCACTGATCTCATTTGACCAGAACACATATCTAAATACTTGTGTCCAAACAAGTGATATCAGTAAACAATGTGCACTTTAATGTTTTGCTAGTTTAGATGTAAGCGAAAAGCGCTTGGCTAAGGACATAAGTGTAAATTACTTTTTCAACTAACAACATCACCACTATCACCATCCTGAACATTGAGTATATCATTGATAAAAAAGCAAAAAAAAGAGAGAATATTTTTTTCTGGAATGTGATAGAACACCAGCAGAGATGTTGGTACTTCAGAAAGTAGCATCATGAACCAACAAGACAATGCTAAGATAAAATAAGTCAATAAATTATTCTTTTATAGTTACCGTATTTGCCGGCGTATAAGACGAATATAAGACGATACTTTTCCTGCTAAAATTTAGTGTTTGAGCTATACTCGCCGTATAAGACTACCCCTCTTCCAATGCACACCAGTGGCAGGAATAGTGCCCCATCATTGGTGTCAGTGGCAGGAATAGTGCCCCATCATTGTATCAGTGGCAGGAATAGTGCCCCATCATTGGTATCATGGCAGGAATAGTGCCCCATCATTGGCATTAGTGGCAGGAATAGTGCCCCATCATTGGTGTCAGTGGGAGGAATAGTGCCCCATCATTTCACAGTGGGAGGAATAGTGCCCCATCAATCAGTGGCAGGAATAGTGCCCCATCATTGGTATCAGTGTGCAGGAATAGTGCCCCATCATTGGCATTAGTGGCAGGAATAGTGCCCCATCATTAGTATCAGTGGGGGGAATAGTGCCCATCATTGGTATCAGTGGCAGGAATAGTGCCCCATCATTGGTGTCAAGGAATAGTGCCCCATCATTGGTGTCAGTGGGAGGAATAGTGCCCCATCATTGGTATCAGTGGCAGGAATAGTGCCCCATCATTGGTATCAGTGGCAGGAATAGTGCCCCATCATTGGCATTAGTGGCAGGAATAGTGCCCCATCATTAGTATCATGGGGGGAATAGTGCCCCATCATTGGTATCAGTGGCAGGAATAGTGCCCCATCATTAGTATCAGTGGGGGGAATAGTGCCCCATCATTGGTATCAGTGGGGGGAATAGTGCCCCATCATTGGTGTCAGTGGGAGGAATGGTGTCCCAACATTGGTGTCAGTGGGAGGAATGGTGTCCCATCATTGGTGTCAGTGGGGGGTGGAATAGTGCCCCATCATTGGTGTCAGTGGGGGGGGGGGGGGGGAAAGTGCCCCATCGTTGATGTCAGTGGGGGGGAGGAAATAGTGCCCCATCGTTGGTGTCAGTGGGGGGGAGGAATAGTGCCCCATCGTTGGTGTCAGTGGGAGGAATAGTGCTCCATCATTGGTATCAGTGGGAGGAATAGTGCTCCATCATTGGTATCAGTGACACCAATGATGGGGCACTATTCCTCCCACTGACACTTGCTGTCCCTGTTCTCGTATGGTGCTGCTGCAGCCAGCATATGTAGTTGCAGCAGCACCTCTACACTGACCACTTACCTGCTGGTCCTGCAGTCGATTTTCGCGGGGCCGCTCGGCTCCACCCCCTCGCCGGTGATTGGCCGCCTGTGTTGCCTTTCCTGAGCTACAGTTCTGGCGGCCAATCACTGGTGAGGAGGCGGAGCCGAGCAGCCGCACGAACATCCAGTGACTGAACTGAAGGCGCAGCCGCGCTTCCTGGACCGGATCGTCGTTGGAAACCAGGTAAGAAACAGCCGCTGCCCACCCCTGTACTTAGTGTCCCTTCCATTGGGGGAAGGGGGGGGGCAGCGGCGGCAACGCGCCGCCCCCCTAAAAAGTGTCAGTATGCTTTTATAAGACGACCCCCGACTTTTGAGAAGAATTTTAAGGGTAAAAAAGTCTCTTATACGCCGGCAAATACGGTAGTTATATAATTTCTTTATAAAAAAAATATCTTTTCTCTGCAGTCTACAAAGATTTACATGTGAAGTAGGACACACTGAAGCCCTCAGCAGTTTAGCTCATTGTTCGCATTTCAGTGATTCATTTGTAATTTCAACTGAAACATACGTTTAACCTGGTCGGATTGAATAAAAAAAAAATAAAGAAATGGTGCAAGTATATAACAGAGACAGAAACTCATCTTTCATCATCAGAACAGTAGAAGAGTTAACTAACCTCTCCTAAGAATTCACTTTCTTCCTCTCGAACTCTGGCTTGATCCCAAAGTGTAATCTCCAACATTCGTTCTCTAAACTCCCTCCGAGGAACCGGAGAGTAGATGAATGTTTGATTCCATTTGGGTTCTAATGTCTTCTTCACAGTCTTTGTTCTTCTTTTGTTCTTATCACTGTAATAAAAGAGAATAAAATCAGTGTGGATTCAACAAATGTCAAAATAATTTAAATCAAAACTGTTCAAGACAATAGCAGTATAATGTGGTAATTTTTACTTATACCCAGTTCAAAGTGAAAAAGAAAACCCTGATATTCTTTTTCACTGCAATCAAAATTTTGTGATCAGAAGATGGTACAGAAATGAACAATTAACCTCTGTTCTTCAGTTCCTCTACATCACGGGTGTCAAACTGGCGGCCCTCCAGCTGTTGCCAAACTACAAGGCATTGAAAGATTGACAGTTACAAGAATTACTCCTAAAGGCAGAGACATGATGGCACTTGTAGTTTCGCAACAGCTGGAGGGCCGCCAGTTTGACACCCCTGCTCTACATGTTAGATATTACACATTGGGACACCTCTGTACCAAATTTCACAGCCTGCACCATGGATCCATGGATTTCTAAATATTAAAATTTCTGTAACATTTTCTGCATCAGGCGCTCCCCATTTTCATCTTCACAATGTCTCTTCATCTGCATGGAGTATGTTATATTCTCCACAGGGCAATTGTCTGTCTTTTCATATTGGTAACCAGTAATTTGATTATGGTTTCCAATATCATAGTTACATGTTATGTATGTAACTATGATATTGGCAACCATAATGAAATCAAACATTTAAACAAAAAATCTTCTTTCGTTTTGGATAGAGCTGGGAAAGATACAACAGACACACTTAAAATAAAAAGCTGATGGTGGTACCATTCTCTGGAGGTTTTTTGTCCATGCTGGCGATTTTTCCCTCACTTCTTGCCCTTTTTTAGGCACTTCCTGTTATAGGGTGACAAAGCTCTGTCCATGGGTCTTAAAGCTTCACCTACATTATCATCCTGTACTACACTTTCCCAATGCAGACTCCAACCACATTGATGGCTGGTGCACAGGCAATGTCGATTGTTGTCACCAAAAGAAAACCCACCCTGAGAAATGCCATGCAGTCATCACTAGAGTGAGCGCATGAACAGTGGTGGTGATACGCTATGGTTGAGGTTTACCATTCCTTCTCACAATATAAGTCCATGAGTTACCTGCCTCACTGACTGCAATGTAGAAATTTCTGACTGCTTCCAGTGGCTAAACTGAACATCTATACATTTAATACAATTAAGAAAAAATGTGTAAAACAGGGGTGTCCAACCCATGGCCCACTGTGGTGTTTGGCTATTTTTTGGTATTTTCATATCTTAGATATGTGAACTTTTTAGATTTTAAGATCATGTGTTGTTTTAGATGCTAAGGCCTCTCCTACAGATATGCAAATTAACCAGTGGGACTGGTTTATGAGCTCAGAAGAGGAAGTCAAGCTAAAGGATATGATGTAACAGAAAATGGGGGAGGGGATTAGGACTTTGGGCAACCTTGTGGTAAGAGACAAAGTGAGAGTTGTTTTTGGGACTTTGGGGAAGAGACAAACAGTTGTTTTGAGAGACAAAGAAGGACACACTTGTTCTGGAGCTGGATGAGGAAGCAGTTGGACTGAAAGAACCACGATGAAGATTCCATCAATGGAAAGCCCAAGCTGAGTAGCTGTTTTGTATACTTATTGCATACATGTTGTAGATGCTTATTTGCTAGGAAGCTACTCAGCTTGTGCATGTTGTAGACATATTTTCTAATACTTTCCATTTGTGTATCCTGCATTCGTATGTGCAGCTTTTGTCTAGTAAAGCACATTATTACACTACAGAGGTCTAAGTTTCCTTGGCTTTTACCGCAAGAATCTTTAAATAGACACCAAGCAAAACACCCAGGGGCCACGTGCGGCCCGAAAGGACTATGAATGCGCCCCAACACAAAATCGTAAACGTACTTAAAAATTTAATTTTTTTTAAATCTTTTGTAAAAATGTGTTTACATTTAGCGAACACATGTGACTGAAGAAAAAATTTTCAGTGCCCCTTTACTGTACTGCTTTTTATCTTCCCAAGAAAAATCTCCCACTCTTCACAATCACGCCTTATTCATATCATCAGTTTTTGGCACCACCTATATTGGTGAGCAACTATTTTTCAAGAATGAAGCACATGAAGGGCAAAATTAGAACCCAAGTATCTGATGAGCACCTTGAGAACTCGTTGAGAATTGCTACTACGTCCATTGAACCAGATATTGTTGCGTTAGTTTCTTAAAAACTGTCAAATGTCAAAAGTCACATCAAAAATTACAACAGGCACAATATGGAACCTCTCCAAAACAAAGCATTTTTTGGTAAATTGGAATTGAGAATTATTTACATACATTTTCCAGAGGAGCTTGCAGATGTGCGTTAGATGGAAGTGATTAGGGTTACAATAATGCAACCCTGATCACTGTCTTCTATCCCACACTGGGTCTTGAGGTGGGTCAAAGCTCACTGGGAAAATATATGTAAATAACTCTCAACGAGGAGGCCAATTAGCTGAATTGAAGTACTTGGAGGAAAACACACAAACACTTGGAGAACATAAAATTAAGTACAGACAGTGCTGTGGCTATAAAAGAATCTAGCCAAGAAAGTAATTCTAACCAAAGTGGCTTTACCTTGATTGGGAACAAATCCTTAGAACAAGGTTGCAAGGAGTTAAACTTGAAAAAAAAAAAAAACTTCTCCCATTGCTTTCACTGAATCCCCTTTTCACATCTAAATATTGTTCACTATTCATTACACCCCTTTTTATTTAAAACCTATCGACATATTTTATTACTAAACAGAAACGTACACGCATTTTGCAGGTGCTGCCTTAGAATCCTCTAATGAGATGTGTTTACATTTAGATTGGTTATCTGCAATTAAAATACTTTAATGACCTTCAGTAAGTGATATGAAACCTAATTAAAAGTTAACTGGTATTTCAGACTACCCCTTTCATTAGCAGTATGCCAATGCAACATTATCTCTGTGATGACACCCATAAACACAATGTGCTGACCCACAGACATTGGAAGTGAAAGACAATAAGACTACTTGCTCTGAGAAAGAATTATTTTGTTTCAGACATCAAATTCTCAGCATTTCAGGTTTAGTAAGGATAATTTCTCTGCTCCAGCAGTCCTTAGCTGTCACAGTGGACAGTTTAGGAAGCCTGACAGCAAATGAAGAGAAATGGAGCTGCATGTGCAAATCGGTCTGATGACTTGTTTATTAGGTGACAAATTCAGCCTTGCACCCAGCACCAACCCCTGATACATTTACAGATAACTCTTTTTTATAGTATTATTATTATTATATTACAGGATTTTTATAGTTCCAACAGTTTGTACAGCACTATACAAAAATAAAGGGAGACAGTACAATTACAAAACAAGAGGTTTAGGGGGCTCTACTCATGAGGTGGGGTATGTGGTACAAAAGGTAATAACTATAAGGAATGAGATTATGGAAGAATTAAAAGTTCAGTTGTTGGGTTAAGGTGGGATAGCTGGATAGACTGAGGATGAAAGAGGCTCTGGAGAAGTCCTAGAGGCAAGCATGGAGGAGACAAGCTCGCTAGAGAAGGAGCTCTTGGGAGGATTAGAGAAGACAGTTTGGGTGCACTATTTTGACAAGATTGGTGATATAGCTTGGGGTAGAGTTGCAAATGGCTTTATATGTTGTTGATAGTATTTTTTAATTTTATTTGTTGGACAACTGGAAGCCAGGGGAGGGATTGGCAGAGATGGGTGGTGGACACTGAGCAAGGTAAGGTTAAAGAGTCTGACAGCAGCATACATGATAGACTGAAAGGGGGACAGACTTTGTAGAGGTAGGCTTATGAAAAGGGAGTTGCCCTATCACCACCCCGAAGGGTCTAATTATTCTCTCTAACAACCTAAGCAGTGTCTGGAGTACAAGAAGATTTAGGCTGGGTTTTTCACTGCTGCAATATGGTTTTGATCCGACGTTAAGTGCGATTATATAGTGCTACTTGGATGCAACTTGGATTCAACTTTGATAAGGTTTGTATATTCTATGGGGCCAAAACTGCACTGGAATGGCACCAAAGTAATACAGGAACCTTTAACAAAATCGCATTGTGCCAAGTCGCATTGATGTGAACAGGCACCACTGAAAACAATGTGATTTCTATTGTTATATGATTCTATGCAACTCAAGTCACATCTGAAATCGCAGTAGCGTGAACCATAGATGTGTCATGTAACGTAGCGCTAGTCAATTAACTGGATCAAGGGGCTTCAAGTGAAGCTTGGTAACACCAAAGGAATACACTTATATAAATTTTATATACTGTATGTAATGCTACAGAGATTGTCAGAAACTGTGCAGAGGGCTAAGTAGATGGTCACAGACTGCTAAGGAAATGGACAGAGACCGTGGGTATGCTACAAGGGAAGACTAAGGAAAAAAAAGTAAACTGTATATTTAGCAGAAGCCAGTTCTAAGAAAAAATTTGCCTTCACTGGCATGAGTAAGCTCCTAAACAGTGTTTACTACTGGCCTCTGGGGCCACACAATAATTACCAAAAAGTCACAGGCATGTAAGAGGGTGTTGTCTATAGTAAAATTCATGTTGAATTATAAAATACTTTGATAATTTGCAAAGTAGTAGTTCATCATCTGGGACAGCTGAAATCAACAGCCACATTTGCTAAAATTTTAAGACTGAACAAAGAACAATGCATAAACATTGGTGTCCAGCCTAATAATTGACCGTACCAGAGGTGACCAGACTGCATGTCCAAACTTTGCTGCTGAAAAACAAAGGAGCCCACCACAGCCTCAATATCAGCATAAAGATGGGCTCTTCCAGAATGCTGATTATTTGAGACAAAGGGCGGGTGAATAATTGCTTTGACTGCCTGGCTGCCTAGAAACCAATCACCTGCTTCTAAATTTGAAAAGTTCTGCCCTTTGTCCAGACCTGCTGTTTTTCCCATCTTGTGTGAATAAGATAGGACATTGTGGGGAGGAAGAGGGGAGTGCTGCAATGTTATGAAAGGGACAGGAGTCTTTAATGACGGTAGGACTGTGATAAGGGGATCTGTGATGTGGGTCTGCAATGGGGGAGGTCTGTGATGAGAGGTCTGTCATTGGGGGGTCTTTGATGAGGAGTCAGTGATGGGGGGATCTGTGATTGGGGAGTGTGTAATGGGGGGGGGGTGCACGGGAGCCTGTGATGTGAAGGATCTGAGTCAAAGAACCAACATGACACTCATACCTTCCCTGCAAGAAAATTTTACTGACCAGACCCCGTGAATTTTAATTCAGAACCCTTGCCCTAGAGTAAGACAACTTCAATAAGAATGCTCAACTGTTTAAAGTAAACCTATCCTGAGAGGGTAAGTAGACTGTCATAGCTGATCTTCCAAAACTACTAGATTCTTGGCTGTCATTCTGGTCCAATGGCTTCAGTGAATGGTCTTACTTTAACCTCAATCAGCCAATTATGATCAGTTCAAGACATTATCATTTCTATGTGTACCCTTCTCAAAACACATCCTGAACAACTAAAGAAGCATTCTGTTTGGTTTGATTTTTCTGATCAGAAGCTATTTTTTCCACTGACCCTGCAACAGAGATGTCCTCCTATTTCAAAACCCTTCCTCCAAATGCATAAGCAACCTTCACAAGCATTTGACCGTGTCAACTTGATCATTCAGGGCGAGGGCTTCTTTAAAGCTCAACCAGTTATACTTACCTTTACAGCATTCACCCACCACTCCTTCTTCCATCACAGCTGCTACAAATACTAGGTGTTTCTGGGTATAGGGGAGCATGTGGCATCTTCCCTTGATGCAGTACTAACCCTGAACACTGTCACTGTCAGCAACCCCCAGTAAGCTTTGACATCAGCTGAAGAATGGTATTTTGAGGCAGCTATGGAAGAAGAAACAGCAGGTCCAGTAATGTGAAGGTGAGTATACGTGGGTTGGGAATGAAACATAAGAAAGACCCTGGAAGACCTAAATGGGCAAGGAGTCTCTTTAAGGAAAAAAAAAAAGCTTTCAGTGGCTAGATCGTGCTTGCATATCTGACCACCATTTCTACATAGCTAGCAATATTGTCATTTTTGCTATAGGCACTAAATTATGCAGCATTATTAAAATAGGCAGCAACCTAAACATTATGGAGATGGAACAATCCTGAGAAAATAACAACATGGAGAGTTAAATGGTGAGTTACATTTAATTGTTGAAAAATGTAACGCTACCTAGGCCTGAGCAATAGCACTATCTCCTATCATTTCAATCAATTACAGTTGAGCAAAACAGTAAGGGAGAAAGACTTGGGAATACTAGTTAACAGAACGCTACTGAAACACCACTCATTGTCTAGAAGCAACAAACAAAATATTGGGAGGTATAGAAAAAAGGGAGATTAAAAATGTGAAGCTAATATAATATAGCCTCTACATAAATCAAGTGTAAATTCACATCTCAAATGTTAGGTCCAGTTTTGTCAACCACATTGTAAAAAAAGAACAATTTAGACTTCGAGGTGTGAGAATTGATTTTTTGTGGTAAAATCTGCAGCAGCTGAACAGAGTTTTGTTCTGCCTTTCTCTGGACCAAGGCTAAGAAGGTTTGAGACTTTGAACTTAATAGACATCAGCTTTCTCTCAACCTTATTAGCCATGTAACTATGTGACTTACCTTCGATCTGGAAGAAAATAAATTTTAACATAAGGATTTCTCGGTCTCCCATCCTCTCTCGATGGTAGGTCCTTAGCTCCTAATATAGTGACTATTAATTGATGACCACCTTTGTCATACCAGAGTTTTATCTGCAAAGTAGAAAAAGTACAATGTTTATCAGCAGTCATGTAAGTGTTTATACAATTATAATTTACACTTTACAGAAAATATTGAAACCGAAGATTCTATTATAACATGTATTTCTTTGAAAGCAAACTGAATGACGGCTAAAGACTAGATAACCTACAGTTTACTGCTCGTGTTCCCCACTGCCCACTGCCTTATCAAATACATTTAGTAACTAAAAAAACTACGACCTTCATTTTTAATATAAATCATATAATGCTTATATAATAGGCCAAAAGCACAGTGATTTGCTAATTAGCAAAATCCAGCAGCTGAGACCCCCAGCTTGCTCATTGGACAGTGGAGGAATAGCAGAAACATTAATGAGATTCCTTTAAACTAATGAAATCTGAAATCTTGGTTTTATTTGGATTACTGCACATCTACTACACGGCTTACGTACAGAAACCCTAAAAGCCAACACCAGCCAAAGAGTTAAGGGATAGTTCACACTAGATGCAGTTCAGTGCACTTTCTTTCTGCATCAAAAATGCATACCCAGTGTTTTACGTGTATTCCAATGGCCCTAGTTCACACTAGATGCAGTTCAGTGCGCTTTTTTCTGCATCAAAAATGCATACCCAGTGTTTTCCATGTATTCCTAGTCCACACTAGTGCAATCAGTTCCAGTCAGTTTCCAGTGCAGGAAGAAAAGTAGAACATGCTGTATTTTTTCCTGCACAGAACCATACTGGAATATGGCAAACTGCATCAAAACTGCACCGGAATGGAGTGTGGTGTGAACTGTAAGCAAAAACGTACCCAGAGTGCATTTTGCAGTGTGAGCGGGCCCTAAATAAAAATTTTGGACATGTAGATGTAGAAAGAGTTTTTATTGTGCCTACCTTGGAGATATTTCTCCTTATTTCCTGTTGGGGCAGGAAATGAGGATTTATCTTTCCAGTGTGGACAAAGACTGTGGCAAAACACTTTATTTTCAGTAAGAAGAGAATAAGTTAAAAACCTTCATCAGGTCATCACTGTCTGTGTCTTAGCCCGGGGTTCACACTGATGCGGTGCAGAATTCGCAGTGTTTTTTCTGTGCAAATTCTGCACCGCATCATTATCGCACCCCGTTCATGCGAACCGCTGCAGGTGTGTATGTTAAGTTAACAACACCCTGAAGTCGATCCGCAAAACATGGTGCGATGTGCAGAATCGAATCGCATAGGTGTGAATACGATCGGATTCTAGTGCGGATGCAAAACAGGGTCTTGCACTTTTTTGTTGTGGATGCGGTGCAATTTGAGCCATACATAATGTATGGCTCAAATCGCATTGCACACAATCCGCATCTGATTTGTGCAGGAATGTGGTGCAGTTCCTGTGCGAATCACATGCGATATGCCGCACCACATGAGTGTAAACCTAGCCTCACTGTCCTGGTGACAACAGCGCCCTTTATTTCTTGCTCTTCTGTCACAGGGACAGGAAGTGTGGGTAAAAATCTCTCTAACAGGGACACAGATAACAAAAAAACATGACAGAAGTGTTTACAGTATTACTATGCAAAAAAGGTTTTGGTTGGTGTTGGGATTTACAGATTATGTCTATGGCTTAATGCACACTGCAGCCAAAAAAACACTTTTACAGGCGGTTGGCATTTTTCTCCTGCCTCTAAACAGCCCTCTATGTTAGCCTTTGGAATTAATTTACTTAAATTGGAGAGTGGAAAATCTGGTGCAACTCTGCATAGAAACCAATCAGCTTCCAGTTTTTTGTTTTATTTTTGTCCAAGCTTAATAGAACAAGCTGATGTTAGAAGCTGATTGGCTACCATGCACAGCTGCACCAGATTTTGGACTCTCCAGTTTTAGTAAATCAACCCCTATGTGTCTATGCACGTATAGGCATTTAGGGGCAGAAATCTGAACTCAACAAAATTGTATTCTGGAGAGGAGTGTTTGGGTAGAAAAAAACACCCAACGCGCCTAACCACGTGTAAATGCACCTAAGTGCTAATAAATTAATATTCTGGCTAATGAAATTAATGAACACCCAAATGCTTGTCGTGCTGGAACATTTAAAAAAAACACGGCTTTAGGTGTGTTTTTAGCGCTGCTTCTCTCCTGCCAGGAGAAAGGTGTTCAGAAGGACTGAGCAAAAGTCCAGTGTGCATGAAGCCTGAGTGCCGGTTCACGTATATGCGGATTGGAAGAGGTTTGAACCGCATCCAATCTGCATGACATATGAAATAACATTGCTTCCTATGGTGCCTGTTCACAAATGTCCGCTGCACTGGCAGCGCGGATTCTGTGCGGATTGAAAAAGAGTCCTGTCTAATTTCTGAGCAGTGCGGTCTGATTCATGTGCGGATTACAGGCTATTGACTTCTACAGGAACAGCTTCTGAATTGCACGTCATCAGTTGTGATCAAGATTTCAGTTCAGGATCAGGTTTCAGCACGGTTTCAGCTCAGTTTGTTCTCTTCCTCTCCACCTCAGGAAAACCAAAGAAGCCTTGCAAAACCGCATCCAAACCTGGTCCGGCCCTGTGCACAGTTCAATCTGCAGTTGTGTCACAAAAAACGGTCCTATACTGGCCTTGAACCTCTGAACAAGTAGCTTGCAATGCACAATTAAACCGGACTTTGAAAGCCGTAATGCACATGTGTGAATTGGCAGTTATGCCTTGTACACACAGGCCAAAAATCGTCTGGTTTGGAAAAAACTGGACGACTTTCGGCCCGTGTGTATAGTTGTCTGTTCTACATAAGCCGTTCTCATGATCAGCTCCTGTTGAATGGGGATGCTGGAATACCAGCATTCAAGCAGTGCTGGCAGCCCCCAGTGTGTCCCCCTGTCAGTATACAATTGCACAGCAGGGAGATCGCCGCACTAATATTGCTTGTGTAGTACGGTGTGTACTACGGTAATCTGTCAGTTTTTTTGTTCACTGTATTCCCAACTTTAAAAATACAAATATAACTCCATTTTCAGAGGAAAATCACAGCCAATTATTCTACATGTTTTAACAATGTTATTATTTGCCTCTCTTCAGTCAGACAGGTTTCCCTATTTGTCTTCAATTGCTTGTAAAAAAAAAAACTGCATCTGGCAGTCTTCGTTTTTTACTTGAATAAACCATAGACAAGTTTTCTACTGTTTTTCTATGGTCAGTGACCACCCTCCCTGACCAAAGCTTCCACTCTAGAGAGGCAAGATTTGTCTTGTGTCTGAGTGCAATCAGCAAGTATGCAAGCAATGCATTGTGGGACTTCATTTCTGATTTGAAGATCTCTACAAAAAAAAGGTAGCCAGATGGACTCATGCAACAGCATCTTAGGGAACCACTGCAATTGATCAAAATAAACCACAAGTTATCAAAGTAAAAAGACCCTGGAACCTATTGCGGGTGTGTGTAAAGACGGGTAAAGGGTATCTAAACCTCAAAATGTAATATACTGCAGATTATTACTCCTTAGGTGTGCTCTTTCTATTTTCAGACTTTAAATGTACTATATTTCACCTGTTGATCCTGCCAATAACACACTTCCTGTCCTTGGGTGACAACACTCACTCATCGTACTGTATTGGAGAATAAGCATTGTCAACATAGGACAGGAATACAATAACTTCCCTTTTCCTTTTCACCATTCCATAGAGGGGAGTGGCTCTGTAGGCCTCAATCATAGTTGGGAATAATGTACCTGATAACAGTCAGCAAAAGCTGAGAGCACAAGAAAAAAATCAGCTGAAACAATTTCTGGACAACTCAACCAGTATTTTTTGCACTTATGGAACAGATTTAAGAAAACTCTTAACTGTATAGCTAACAGATCAAAAGGGACCAAATGGGGCAGTTCACTGTTAGGGTTTACATATCCTTTAATGTAGTGTCTTGTTATAAATGCAAGGTCCATCTGATGGAAGGACAGCTGTACACACAGGCCAAATGTTGGCTGGTTCCTGTTGAACCTGCTGATATTTGGACTGTGTGTACCCAGTTTTAGGAGTTGGAGCTCTGCCTCCTGAAAGATGCTTAAGCTCTGCCTGATCTCTCTGTACAGTCATAACGTCAGCACTACCTGCAGCCAACAAATGTAATATGAATCTGCCAGTTGTAGATAGAAAAGGTGGCAAATATAATTCACTGTCAGTCAGTCTTGTTCTGCTTTTTCCCCCATTTCAACAGCCTACTATGCTTTCCCACTGTCAGCCTGATTTGATCTTGATGTATCTGTAAAGATGATGAAAATTTAAATTAAAGAATTTAAATTAAAGAAAGTACTGTCTACCAGCCACCCACTATGACAATTTATAATGGACAAAAACATTTCTGAAAGTTTTTACTTATTATTCTTATTTTATGTTTCAACTATTTGTTTGACTATTCGACTGATAATGTCTAATTCAACAAAATTAACAGTGGGACAATGTTATTCTCTCTGTATTATGGCAGACCTTAATGTGAATCTGTGGCCAGGTTATGGATATCAAAGTATTTATGTACTCTTAGCAAACAGTTAATGCACTTGAAATCAAGTCCTTACCTCTACAGCTGCTGGCACTGTGGAGCAATTAATTTTTTAATTTTTTTTTTACAATAGACAGACTAAGGTAGACACTGTTTTTGCTTTATAGATTAAAAGCGTGCTGAATTACTTCTAACAGGGTGAAACAGAGTGAGCTGAGCTGCTGAGTTACGACTAGGAGAAGGGAGCAGGGTGAGCTTAGCTGCAGAGTTCCTGCTTGTAGGGGGAAGCAGCGTGAGTTCAGTTGCTGAGCTCCTGATAGGAGGAGGGAGCAGGGTGAGCTTAGCTGCTGAGTTACGACTAGGAGAAGGGAGCAGGGTGAGCTTAGCTGCAGAGTTCTTGCTTGTAGGGGGAAGCAGCGTGAGTTCAGTTGCTGAGCTCCTGCTAGGAGGAGGGAGCAGGGTGGGCAGAGCTGCTGAGTTACGTCTGAGATGGTAGGGCAGGGTGAGCTGAGCTATTGAAAGAAAGACTAGGAGAGAATCAGTGCTT